ACTCTCTCTCTCTCTCTCTCTCTCTCTCTCTTATCTCATAATTCGACCACTATAGCACCCACACCCACACCCACACCCGCACCACTAAGAACATACATACAAACACCTCTCTCTCTCTCTCCTCCTCCCCCCTAGTATCTCATAATTCAATCTCCTTTTGTAAGCCACCCTTGGATCGAGCTTGAACTGTCACTCTATTTTTTTTGTCTTTCCTCCTATGTTACCTTGCTCCCTTCCCAAGCCAGCCTGGAGATTGACCTTGAACTCTTTGTATTTTTATTTGTATTTCCTCCTATTTCTCCAATTTTTAAGTCCATAGTATCCACCTATTCCACCGAGAGCAGTACTTCTCTTTGTTTAAGAGTCTTGTAGAATAGTATGGCAATACTAAGAGTTGATTCTTGTTCAAGTACATGGGTTGATGCGATTGCACCCTAGCCTTGCATAACTGGGTGGAACTTGTGGCATTGGGAGATCCCAAGGCTATGCCGCAAAAGGGGATGTTTTAGCGGTTGAAATCAGGTGATCTTCGCCTAAATGCGGTAAGAAAAGTGCAAAGCACTTTCATGGAGAAGAGATTTTATTTAATGGGGACTGTTTCTCAAGTCAATAGTAGCGTTTGTTTAGGACGCAATTGTACTCCTGTAATGGTTCGCCTTCATTTTTGGAGGTTGATTCAGGTATTTCTGACTCGGCTGTAGTTCTTTTATGGGGCTTCAGGTTCTCATGAAAACTCATGTGACCTAAGAAATTCCAGTTTCAATCTCATGGAAGCTAGTTTCATAGATAAGCTCATGTTTATGTCTGCTCACTATCGTTTCTTTTATATTCTAAAATTGTGATTTGTATAGAGTTGTGTTTTTTTTTTTTGCTGGGATAATTGAGAGTTGTGGGTTTCATGAATGGAGTTAAAATGTGTTAAATATGCCATGGCGGAATTCATGAAGAAAAGAAACTTATATGCCTTTACTATAGTAGAATTGATACAATTCACCCAATTCTTATGTCTATGTCTGATGTTCTCTTCCGCAAAGCAAAAGAAGTATTCAGTTTTCGATGCCTTCTAACTTTTTTAGTCACTGTAGGAGGTGAGTCTAATTTCTCTCACCCTAGTCGTTCACCTATCGGAAGGAGTGTATAAACAATAAACACCACAAACTCCCTCTGAATTTACACTAATACAACCAGTTAGGTAAACCCTCATGTGCATGGGTCCTTAGCTCATGCAGAGAGTTAGCTCACGAGAACCCATGCAGTTTCAAGCTGACACATTCAGTGCCTTTTTTGGGTTCCTTTGTAAGGTTCAATACTCTATTTCTTAAGGTTGATAAAAGAAAAATAAAGAAAGGGCTCGAACCCATAGATTGATTGCAAGGTGCTCATTGTTGCAGCCTTGAATTATTGTGTCTAAATGATCTGAATTCGAGCCAAAAATAACCATCTTTACTCGCCTCTTCTGTTTTACAATAGTTCTATTTTTAATGTAGTCTCTATAGGCAATTTTCTAGGATGTCATTCCATGTGAGCTCCACTTGGTTGAGATAAGAAATCCTCTATTGATCTTTGTGCAGGGAGTTGAGGACCGATTACCTTCAGAATTGTCAGGAGGAATGAAGAAACGAGTAGCATTAGCTCGATCTATCATTCTTGACAACTCAAAGGAAGCTGTAGAACCAGAGGTACCGAGAATGCGTTTATTCATCATCACCTAGCGATTTCGGGATTCTTCTTTTATTGTTAATACTTAATCAGTCTGGTGGCTTATGGAGCTCTTTTTATATGACGATAGATATGTTTTCTTTGTCATTAATCAAGGGGATAAAAAGAGGTTTTATTAATCAGGACCATAAATCTCTCTCTTCAGTATTATTATTTTTTCTTTGTTAGGACCACAAATATTCTATATGAAAGCTGTGAGACCAACTTTACTTTATGGGGCGGAATGTTGGGCGGTGAAAAAAACATACCCATAAAATGAGTATAGCTGAAATGAGAATGTTGAGATGGATATGTGGCAATACAAGAATCGATACAATTCGAAATGAATACATTCAAGAGAAATTAAATGTAGCATCAATAGGCAATAAGATGAGAGAAAGTAGATTTGGGTGGGCTGACCAAGTGTGGCACAGACCTAGCTAGTATAACACTTGTTAAGAGGTACAAGTTACGTCAAGTAGAAGGCTAAAAAATGACAAGGGGTAAGCCCAAAAGGATATGTTTGGAAGTAGTGAGAAAAGATATGGAGATTATAGCCTCGATGAGGGTATAATCTTTAATAGAGCAGAATGACGGATTAGGATTCATGTAGCCGACCCCAATTAGTTAAAAAAATGTTTGTTTATGATGATAATGTTAGGACCATAAATCTCTCTCTCTCTCTCTCTCTCTTTCTCTCTCTCTCTGAGATCAGAGAATCAAGAAAAATGCCTTCGCGCGCTTTGTGTGCAGGTCCTCTTGTATGATGAACCAACAGCGGGACTTGACCCAATTGCTTCAACAGTGGTTGAAGATCTCATACGCTCTGTTCACTTAAAAGGTAAAGATGCTCTTGGGAAGCCAGGCAACATTACTTCATATGTGGTTGTTACTCACCAACACAGCACCATAAGAAGAGCGGTCGATAGGTAAATTTGGGTGCTTTTATTTTAAGAAATTGTTTCTCAATTTCTTTCTTTTGGTCTTCGCCTATCTTTTGACTTGGGGCTATCTTTTCATAGAAAAAAATTAGTTTTAGAAGGAAATTAGGAAACTTCAAACTACTATATATGTTCAACAGGTTGATCTTTCTCTACGAGGGGCAAATTGTTTGGCAAGGCATGACCCATGAATTCGCAACCTCGTCAAATCCCATTGTTAGACAGGTAATATCCTATTATCAATCCAATCTCACTATTTTGTTTTTCCTTTAAGCGTGTGTGTGTGTGTGCGTGTGTATATGTGTGAGAGAAAGAGGAAGTGGTCCTTTTGAAGTTGCTTATGAGTATGACGTGAGATGATTCACAAAGTTTGAATATGAAACGCACTTGGAGAGAGAGAGAGAGCTCATTTTGAAGTTGCATTTTGAGAATGAGGAGAGAGATGATTCATAAAGCTTAAAATATGAAATGCACTTGGTGTTTGTGTGAGAGTGAGAGAGAGAGAGGTCACTAAAGAGAGATGGTTCATAAAGCTTAAAATATGAAATGCAATTGGTGTGTGTGAGAGAGAGAGGTCATTCATCATCATCGTTTTAGCCTTTTTTCAATTAATTGAGGTCAGCTGTATGTATCCTGGTCTCCATTCTACTCTATTAAATGTTATATTCTCAGTGAGGCCATAAGTTTTCATATCTTTTCGGACTACTTCCAACTACATCCTTTTGGGTCTATCTTTTGCCCTTTTCAGTCATTCCACTTGAACTAACTCACATCTCTTAAAAGGTGCGGTCTTTATTCAATACGACACATGGCCAGCCCACCTAAGTCTGTCCTCTCTCATTTTATCGTCTATTGGTGTTACGTCTAAATTTTCTCGAATAGAAAGATAGAGATGTCATTATAAAGTTCTATTTGAGGAGAGATGATTCGTAAAACTTAAAATATGAAATGTGCTTGTGGAGAGAGAGAGAGAGAGAGAGAGAGAGAGGATGAATAAGGCCTGCATATGAATTGCACTTGGTGTTCTTGCAGTTTGCATCAGGAAGCTTGGATGGGCCAATCAAATACTGAACATCTCAATCCATGTTAATGAAGCTTGTTGAGGGGTTTGGCCAAGGAAGAGATTGCCCCGTAAACCCAACATGGAGGATGTTTCAGTTAGGAAGTGTAGGGTTGATGGGGCCTTCAAATGCCGGTAGTTATTGGGGCAGAGATATGGAGAGAATCGTCGGTGTGTGTACAAATCTATTTACGGGCCCGTGTTTTTGTATCACATGCCTTAGAATGCCTCCCTTGTGGAGCAATTTATTGATATATTGCTTCGTTTTAATTCATATATTACTGGTTACTGTATAGAGAGATGAATCATTACATCTCTCGAGCTAAGAGAGATATTGCATGTCTCATTGAAAAGAATGATAACATTTTGATCTTAACGAAATTAATATTACAGGTAGGGTTGGTCTTAAAAGAAAATATCACTGGTTAAAACTCCTTACAAAATTATTAAGGGATCAAAGCTATAATGAATTAGAGGGTTTATTTTTTAACTTTCGTTTCCCAGTGATCCCCTTGAAAAATAGCACTCTAAACAAGACATTACAATGATTTGCCCATCCTGAACAAGCAGCGTTACTTGCCTCTTATTGACAGGCCCTCATTTAGATTTTCAACTCTGATTAGAGGTAAAAATAGTTTTTGAGGCATATGAACAGAATAAAGATAAATAAAACCGCACCTTGTGGATGATTTTGTGAGAGATTTTGACCCCTTGGATGATATTTTTTCTATCCCATGAATAAAATGCATATTTGGTTTGGATGGTAAAGCTGGCAGTGGAAAGGGCCAAACCTTCCCTAAGGGTATCATGGGCCCAGCGTGGAGTAGGCCAAAGGAGCTGTCGCCCAGGCCTAATAGATTCAAATGAAAAATAGGCTGGGCTGGCCTTGAGGTGGCTCAAACCAGGCCCTTGAGCCGCATTTTGGAGCCTGAGCCTTGGCTTTTGGGCCCGCTTAGCCCTCATGGCCCAGTCTCAGGTCACATTTTGTAGCCAAGCCCCAAGTTTTTTAGGGCCAGGTCTTTTAGCCAATTGCCAGCTCTATTAGACTGCGATGGGATCACAGGGTAAAGAGTTTTTCTTCGAAAAGATCGAAGAACAAAACAAAAAGAGAAGACTAGGGTCTAATCAAGCACAAATACCACCATGCAGAAAAAGTGGAGTAGAGTTTAGTCAAACACAAGCACCGCCAAGCAGTGACCAGTCAATCAAACACCACCACCATGAATCGTCATAAGAAAATTCCTCATTTTCTAAAAAGTTGCAATGGAAAAAACTACCCTAAACAACCACTGGTTCTAAGAAAATAATCCAAAATGTCATCAGAAATGACATGACTAGCCCTAAATCCTCTTCTTTTTTCCTTTTTTTTTTCATGTTCACTTTTTTTTTACCAAAAAAAAAAACTTATAATTAGAAAACATAAAACACAAATGTTTTGCTGGCCCGACGCATGACACAAGTCTGGCCCAGACGTGTTTATATTTCAATCTCAAGCCTTGCCCAAATTCAGTGGCCAAGATCCGAGCAATCCGAAGCGAGCTACCCTGCCCATTGTCACCCCTAAATGAATATAGGGAGCTAGGGTATTGTGCATCAGTATCTTCCATTTCCTTTCAAAGTTCATTATCATCATCATCATATTTTTTGTTCTAATTAATTAGAGTCTGCTATATGAATCTTGGTCTGTCATGTCCGGATAAAGATCTTAAACTTTTCTTTAATCCATCCTATGCACGGATAAAAAGGTTGGGTTAAATTTTCACTTAATCATAATTTTATGTTAGGTAGACAGCCAACATAAAATTTTACTAAAACTTATAATAAATCCTTCCAAAGTTATGAAACACAAATTCATCACAATCTAAATATGAAATACAAAGAAAAAAAAATATAAAGAATAAAAAAAGAAGGAAAACAAAACAAAACAAAAGATTCTCTAAACAAGGGAAAATTTTTTACTTCAATCACAAACTCTCCAGCTTGATCAGCTTCATAAAGACAGGGGCTTCTTGCCTCCAAACCACCTAAAAAAAAACAAAAACCGCCCTACTTTCAGTTAGGCACTGGAAAGCTGGTTTTGTCTAGGTGCCTGAAAACCACTCTCCTTTTTTTTGACCGGGTGCCTATAAAACCACCTTTATGTCTAGGTACCTGAAAACCACATCTTTTCTCTAGGACCTGAAAGCTTTATTTCCTTTCCAGGTACCAGAAAACACCTTTCCTTTTGCTGCTCACCATAATGTACCTTAAAACCACCTTCCTTTACTTTTGTTTTGGTACCTGAGAACCACCTTTCTGGTACCTCAAAACCATCTTTCTCTGTCCTGGTACCTGAAAACCAACTTTTGGTCCAAGGACCTCAAGAACACCTTTTTTTTTTTTTTGGTACCTGAGAACCATCTTCATTTTTGTGGTGGGACCTGAAAACCCCTCTTTTGTCTTTGATACTTGATCATGTACCTCAAAACCACCTTTCTTTTGTTTAGTTGCCCAAGAAATACCTTAGGAAGCTGGTTTCCATGGTCTTACAATATAATTCCTTGCTTTAGCAGAGCAAAAGATTGCCACAAAAGAAGCATAGAAACTCACTAAAACACTGATTCCAAAAGCCGAGAGTGACATAAAACCATCATCTTCACCCACCAAAACCACCCCAGAATTCACAGAGAAACCACTGTCAGGGCAACCCTCTCTATAAAATTCCCCACAAAGACCAGGATTTCCTACCAATGCGCCTGGAAATCGCCAAAACCTCTGCCTTTTTGGCACAAAACCAGACAGGCAATTATAAGAAAGATTCAAGAAAACCAGGCTCTCCATGCCGGATAAACCAGCTGGAATCTCACCGGAAAACAAATTATGAGACAAATCCAAGCTCTTCAAGCCCTTTAATTCTGTTAATTTTGCTGGAATTTGGCCAAAGAAGTAGTTATATGAGAAGTTCAGATACTTGAGCCCCTTCAAGCTTAACAGACCAGAAGGAATACCACCACGAAAAGAATTCTCCGATAAATCAACACACAACCCAATTTGTGAACTATAAACAACCCTCAATTCATGGGATCCAGTTAGAGTGGCTGAAACCACAGCTTTGGCTCTACACCCACCAGAAAACCAGGAATCATCGCCAGAGAACCATCCAGAATTGTGGTTCGGTTCGAAATCTGGTATTGAGCCAGAGAAGTTGTTTCCTGAGAGGTCTAAGGTTTGTAGGGATGGAAAGGAGAGAACCCAACTCGGGAGCTCACCGGAAAAGCAGTTTCCAGCAAGAGAGAGGCTTTTGAGGGCCACCCACCTTGTAAATGCATCGGAAATTTGGCCGGAAAGATTATTCCAGCTAAGATCGACAATCTCTAATGACTTGCATCCAGCTAAAGGCAATGGGATCTCGCCAGAAAATTGGTTACTACTTAAATCAAGGATTTTCAATCCAGCTAATGCATCCAATTCAGGGTGCAGAATACCAGAGAGATTGTTGTTATTGAGCTTCAAAACAACCAGTTGATAACACCCAACCAATTCGAGGGGCAAAGAGCCAATTAACCTATTGTGAGATACATCGAGAACTTGCAAGAATGTCAAATTTCCAATGGCTGGAGGGATTTTTCCAGTGAATTGGTTATGAGAGAGAAAGAGGCCTTGAAGCATTTTCAGGTCAGAAATTCCGGTGGGTATCTCACCAGAGAATTGGTTTGAGGCCAAGTTCAAGAGAATTATCCCTGAATTTTCAGAGGTCTCAGCGATTCTTGGAGGGAGGTGACCAGAGAGGGAATTTGAGTGAACGTCAAGAACCAGGAGCTTGTCTGAGAAAGAGAGAATGGGCGGAAGCTGATTTGTCAGGGAATTGCAGGAAAGATTGAGCACAGTGAGCTCCCGTAGAGAGGTTATGCATGTTGGAACACTACCCACAAGCAAATTGTGAGAGAGGTTCAGTAGAGAGAGAGAGTTGATGGATTTGGAGAAACAGGGCAATGTACCAGAGATATTGTTAAAAGCCACGGATACTGTAACAAGAGACTGGTTCAACTCCGGTATGGTTCCTTGTAATTGGTTGTAAGAGAGGTCAACATGCTTCAGACTGGGGAGCTTGCCAATACCCTCTGAAACATCCCCCTTCAAGCTGAGATTTGCCATCATAAGAACTGATAGTTTCGAGAGAGAAGAGAATGAATCAGGGATCTTTGTTATGGACAAATTACAATTAGAGATAGATAGCATAGTGAGGCTTGTCAAAATCCCAACCCATTCCAAATTCCCACCATCCAAGAGACTTGGGTTATCAGCAAGTATGAGACTCTCGAGATTGAGAAGGCCCGATAGCTCTGATGGAATGCTGCCCTGAAGCTGGTTCCTTTGAATGTCTAGCCTTTGCAGCCATGAGAGAGAACCTAAGCAAGAAGGGATTGAACCACCGATATTATTAGAGGAAAGGACCAAGGTCTTGAGCATGGTGAGCTCACAGAGCTGAGGATTAATCGGGCCCGCGAGACCCATCGAGTTCAGATCGATATGGAGGACTCTTCCAGTCTCATGGTCACAAGTAATGCCATTCCAATGGCCACATTCAGAGCCAACCCAACTTGTCAAACTCCCTTTTGGGTCCTTCAACCATGACTTGAATCTTAGAAGAGCTTCCTTGTCTCCGACATGGATCATGGTGCTGTTCCCCATTTCAGTGGCAGAAGAACTCAGAACCAAACACAGTAGCAAAACTAATGAAATTGGATTCATGGACATGGGTTTCAACTCTCTGCAAATTCTATACATGGGTTCTCTTTCTCTGCAAACTTGATGCATGGGTTTTCTCTTACTACAGTTACTATCCACCAGTTTCCTCTCTCTGCCTTAGCTTTTCTCTTCCATGAACTGAGATAAAAAGGTGTACAACTACAAAGAGCAGGAATGCCTCATGAAACCTGCTTCTATAAAAGAGTAGACAGTATAGGAATTCTCTTGGTAGGAGTTTTCATGTGTTGCAGAGAGTTAATGAGGGTATTCTTTTAGTCATTATTGGGGATTAAAAAAAGCTTACTGAGAATTCAGAAATGTGGGCAAAATTACAGACGGGAATTGTAGGAGATAGCACGGGATGGCCCTATCCATCGCCAAATCCAAGGAAATGGCCTGCAAATAATTAAAAAAAGACAAATTATTTACCAACAAATACCTTCTGAACAAGATATATAAGAAAAAGCAATATTTGTTATTCCAATATCTATTCCAATATCAGGGCCATCTTCTTGATACATTTATCTTACTTTACTAGAGACTAAGACTCAGCCAAGACATAATCAGGTGAAAAGCCCCCCAAATTTTGCCTCCCTCCTTTCATTTTTAACCAAATTTGCCAACACCCCAACTGTAGTTCGAACCAGAGTTTATCCAAATTTAGGGGGTAAAATTGCCCGAAGTAAGGAAAACATTAAAATTTCAGGTGAAAATTTGATCAAATTTGGATCAAATGTGACCATTTTGCCAGAAATTCAAACAACGCTCACCTGAAACTGACCTTAATTTCAATGAGAACGCCGGATTTCAGCCCCAAAAACTTCAGTTTGGCCTGTCGGGCAAATAAAACTTAATGTTTTAGAATTTAGACAATGGCTCAACGGACATTCCAAATTCAGTGACAATATAAATGAGGGTAAAAAGAAAGAAAATCAATGGTGTGAAATTTCTCAATATCCTGGACTTGAGCATGATATTATTTGGCAAAAAAAAAAAAAAGGCTTGAAACGCTTCCTCGGCATCTATTTCTGGAGAACATTTGAGGTTATTCAGGGTATTTTCCCTTAATTGAAGGCAATTCGCTCTCAGCCAGAGAGAGAGAGAGAGAGAGAGAGTA